TTTAAAGAAGATAAAAATAATGCATTGAATATTGGCTTTAGCTTTATAACAAAAATGTTACTTGCCAAAGCTAACAAAAATGTAGACATTTCCCTCCAACTATTGATAGATTAATGCAGTAATTAAATTTTGTTTCAAATAATCATTAGATGGAATTTAATTTCCAACTATCCTTAGAATAACAGGGAAATATTGAGCTAACACTCCAAACATTTTTCTCATCTCAACTATGCTCTTATTCTTTCAGAAATGAGCTCTGAAAATATTGTCAGAAAGAAAGCAGAGTAGAAGGATTGAGCTCAGGAAAGTACATTTACTAACACCCACCACTATAATTTCTTAATTACTTATAACAAAAGTATTGACTTTTTTTTTTTTACCATAGTTTTATACCTTATACTGGAGCTATGGATTTAATTATTTATTTTATGCTTTTGAACAAATGGTTAAGCTCCCAGAAAAAAGGACAGACTCCAATTCAAAAGTGATTATTGAACTTCTGTTGACACTGTTTTTTTTTCCCTTTCAATAACTTCTGATTTAAGTCAGCAAGTTCTGGAATGCAGAGCTTACATCTTCCTTCACTTATCTTGTATTCAGAATTTCCCAAAGAATTGCAAGCTTACCAAACACTTTAAGGAATAGGAAGAATGTCACATCCATGTGCAAACTGTTTTCACAATAAATTCTCACCTGAGAGGGTGATTTTTTTTTTCAAGTTCTTGCTCTTGCACTAAGCCTACCTAATTCTCTTTCTCCCCATGCTCAGCAGTTGTCAGTAGAGAGAGAATTAATATTTATATTTGCAGCACTATTACTATTGTTATTGTTTCACATTTATTGGGTATTTATTGATATCATTTAATCTTCACAAGTTTATAGTCACATTCATTTTCCTACTCAGGAAGCAAGAAGGTTAATCAACTTGCCCAAGGTCACACACCTAGTGAATACATGTTACATTTTTTTCACTCTCCATATGCTGTGGTTTTAGCGTGTTTGTTAAATGAACCAAGCCAATCTTAAATGATTCTCAGGAGCAGAGACTGAGGCTCCACTGTTTGTGCTTTGGTACTGAAAACCAAGTGCAGTTCTGGGCCTCTCAGAAATGCCTGACATACAAATGGCAGTGAAGGAATGATACCATCAGAGGAAGGGGCATGGTGAGGACTGACACACAAAAAAAGTGTGCTCAGTTTTACAGGAGAATTTTTTCTCTTGCATTTTGGTTGTACTTTTTTATAGATGACCACTTAATTCTCACTGATAATCAGAGGACCACATATCCTAAATTATTTAAGCAAACACCTCTCTTGGAAGTTTATTTTGTTTTTCTAGTGAATTCCAGTAAAAACCCACAGTTCTGGAAGAACTACAATTGCCCTTTTGCTTTACTATTTGATGATTGGGGAAAATTAAGTTCAGAATGGTATTTTTACTTAAAAAAAAAAAACTCTCCTAGTTTCCACTTGAAAAAAAATAAAAACTTTTTAATAGGAGCTTTTAAAAATCACTTTTGTAATCTCCTAAGTACATTTTCAACTCTTGACTATATAAGTTATTTCCTCATTAGTAGAAAAATCAGCCATGATTTGGGGATTATGGATAAACATAATTCAATTACTGAGAAGCCCCAAACACTACTGAGCCTTCAGTAATGACAGCACATTCAGATTTTACAGCAAATATCTTTTTTTAGTATATTATCAGCTTAATATCTTTTTATCTTATGTCCCTGGTCAAAAAACTACATTGAAATGCAGGGCTTGTATCAAATTTCCTGTGAAAATGTTACAAATCTTTATGTCTCATAAACTATTTTAGAGAATTTCCAACTATCCTTAGAATAACAGGGAAATATTGAGCTTACACTCCAAACATTTTTCTCATCTCAACTATGCTCTTATTCTTTCAGAAATGAGCTCTGAAAATATTGTCAGAAAGAAAGCAGAGTAGAAGGATTGAGCTCAGGAAAGTACATGATGGATGGTGTATCATACTCCAGATCCATAACTGACAAGTTGCATCTAGTAAGTTCAAACAAGAAATAAAAGCATAATGACTGCAAGTTTTGTTTTCAAGTGATGTCATCAATACATCTACTTTAAGGCTAGCTTTTCTTCAGGATAATTTCAGAGGCCTTGAAGAACAAGAGCCTAACTACCCAGATCTTTTGTTTGTACCATTTTCTTTTGGCATATCTGGGATTCTGTGTCTTTAAGGGTTAAATTTAGAAGAATGGCAAAGTGTGAACATGAGGAAATGCAATATCATTGTGCTTTTAGTATCTATCACAGTAGTATTAGTTCAACAAAGGTTACATAAGCTAACTATTGGTCACTTAAAGGTTATGGTACCATAGTCAGTGCTGTATATCCTTTTCATATTTCTATTTTCTTTTTAGTGTTCATAAGAGTGCCTAAAAATCTTGTTATAAAAAAAAAGAAATGAAATGTTTGAAATATTATGTACATTATTCCTATGGAAGACATGAAGTACTTGAGATTTTTTTCAACTTATAAAAATGCTGCATTGTAGACTATTATAGCAGAATAGCAAATACCAGACTTCATGAATATAATTAATTCCAGATTTAAATAATTTTAGCTTTCCTGAAAAGGAAAAAATAAATATGTCAGTTATTAAACCACATGGGATCCAATCAATGAATATATATTCCTGAGTGACATATTTACTGACATATATTTGTATGTACTAAGTTTGACAGGATTCCTATTTAAGGATGCCTTTGATATGTATATGTTTACTTTTTAAAATTTAAATTTCTTTTATTTTACTTTTCTTTTATGTTATCAACTCTATTTCCAAAATTTCATCTTTGGAGAATCCATATTTTAGTTATTTTCCTACTATAATTTCTGAGCCTGCAACTGTACTGTAATAAAGCTATTTAGTTCCATTTTTGTGAGGATATTTAAAAAGGGGAATCAGTACCTTCACAAATCTTAAAAAGACATTTCAGAGTCTGTAGCCAGTATTGCTGTGTATACTTATCTCTTTCTTTTCAATGCCATGAATCATTATAAATGTCAGGTTCATTATTGTGGCATGCTGAAATGATTGAGTGGGAACTGTGCCCAGCACTGCGTTGTAAAACAATCCATCCCCAAACACATTGCCCTGTACTGTATGCCTCAGCCCAATTAGATTTTCTTTGACACTTTGGTGATTGCTCTTTTGTTTGGTCTTGGAGAATTCAAAGTCATAAAATTCAGCTCAAATTTGAAGACAGTATCAAGACTATTGCTATCTGAGGTGAATCTGTGCACGTTAACTAGAGTCATACCTAGTCACATCTGCTTGTAGGATTGCATTCTGTGCTTTTCCTTCGCTTGAGTCATGTAATCAGCATCTACGAGTGAACTTTGATGTGTTACATGTTTTTTTTCCTAGGAGATTGGGAGTCCCATTCTTTACCTATATTCAGATGGGATTAAATGTGCCTTTCTTGGTAAAAGAAACAGCTTAGAACCAACCCATAATAGTCTATTTATTTTCTATGTTGTCATTCCCCTTTGCAAAATCCACTACTGTTTTCCCCCCATTAGTGAATGTATGTAAGTGTATGAGTTACAAAGTGCAGCCTTTGTCAGCACAAAACCAACACAAGTGAAGATATTTGCCTAGGTCTCTTAATACCTCGTTCCTAGATATAACTTCTGAATGGCTGGTTCTGCGGGCTTTCTAAAAAGAGCTAGAGAATAGAATAGGCTTGATATACAAGATTAAGAGCAAAAGAGGGCAATAAAAGAAATTTTTAAAGAAAATAGAAGAAGTAATACAAAATTCAATATTACTTTTAATAACCGTATTTTTCTTCCATGGAGTTATGGGATTGCCTCAATACCTGCTTCATTTCTGCAAGCCAAGGGTTTCTAGGTGGGCTCTCCAAAGCATTTGCCGGAAGGTGGCGATATAAGCCCTTATTGCCTAGAGCTGTCCCAAGTGCTGAAGCCGATATCAGCTCTTAAGAGAAACTATGGGCCAGCGACCAGGGGTTCCACCAAGTTCCCCTAGAGGTTTGCAGGTTCAGGTAAAGAAGAAGCAAAAGGCCATATAAAATGCCCAATCTTATTTACAGAATACAGGCAAAAGATTCCCTTCCCTACATTTACTCTCCACAAAGCTATGAAACATGGCAATGTTTATTGAAATTAAAAAGGTAATGGTAATGGAAAGGCATGTGTATGTGTGTAGAATACATACCGAATTGAGTTTTTTTCCTTCACTTTGAGATGCAGGTGTTTACCTGTCCGTTGACACGTCCTTTATAATTCCTTTCCCCCCAATTACCCAAGGTTAAAAAAATAAATAAAGCCACAGGCAACATCCTCCCCAAGGGAGTCAGGCTGGACTGTCAGATAATGAACGGGCTGGCTTATTTAAAATGCTAAGAAACACTTTGTCTTCTTTCCATCAATTAACAATAATTTACAGACGAACCCAGGACTGTCTACCTCCCCGTTCAGGCTCCATGTGACTCCTTTTCTCATTTCCTATTGCCACTCTGTTGCTGCTAACTCTACTTAATAATTTGACAGAAATATGAAGCAACGGATAGTTAGGATTTTTTTCTCCTCTCGAGTTTAGCTGGGTGAGAGGCGGAGTTATATGTTCTAATATTGGTCTGACCGGCGGCAGATCCGGTGGAAGGGAATTCTGAATCTCTGCCGACCAAAAGGGGCTAGAACGAAAAGACGCTGAGCTAGAGGGAGAGGTGGGCGGGGACCCAGAGGAGAGAGACACTCAGGGTTGGGGAAGTGTTAGGAGGGGAGGGTTAACGTGGGAAGGAGGGACACTCTCAGAGCTGTCGGAGCGACACACGGAAGGATAAAGGGGAAGAAAGAGGGAGACTGAAAGAGAAGGGAGAGGGAGAAAGAGGGGGAGAAAGCTTTCTAGAGAGGAGACAGGAAGAGAGAGTAGAAAAGAGAAAGGGAGAGAAGCAGGAAGAGGAGAGTCACAGAGTGACCCTAGAGGACGAGGCTTCTCTATTCCAGATACTTCTAAGATTGAAGACTGTTTGCTAGTGGGGAGACTCCAGCTCCGGCAGCCAGTTGGGCAGCGGCAAAGTAAAATGGACAGTGAGAAACAGACGTTCCAGCCACCTCTCCAACGCCCAGAGGTCCCGGAGCTGTTCTCTGGCGAACTCCTTTCCCAGCTGGAGTCTCTGAGCCTTCTGGACTAAGGGAGCCCAGGGAGCGCCTGGAAGCTGCTCCTCGGAGATGCCCTCGCCTGAGCAGTAAGAACTTCCCGTTGAGTCCCTGCATTCCCTCCACCTGAAACTCCCCAGGAGAGAGGGGTGGAAGACCCCAGGGGGAGGGGAGAGGGGGATCCTAACGCAGCACTTTCTCCCCTCCCCCTCCCCCCGCCGGGCGCGCAGGCATGGATGTGCTCAGCCCGGGACAGGGCAACAACACCACCGTGTCCGGGGGTCCCTTCGGGACACGCGGCAACGCTACTGGCGTCTCCGACGTGACCTTCAGCTACCAAGTGATCACCTCACTGCTGCTGGGCACGCTCATTTTCTGCGCGGTGCTGGGCAATGCGTGCGTGGTGGCCGCCATCGCCCTGGAGCGCTCCCTGCAGAACGTGGCCAACTATCTCATCGGCTCGCTGGCTGTCACCGACCTCATGGTGTCGGTGCTGGTGCTGCCCATGGCTGCGCTCTACCAGGTGCTCAACAAATGGACACTGGGGCAGGTCACCTGTGACCTGTTCATTGCCCTCGACGTGCTGTGCTGCACCTCGTCCATCCTGCACCTGTGCGCCATTGCACTGGACAGGTACTGGGCCATCACGGACCCCATCGACTACGTGAACAAGAGGACGCCCCGGCGCGCCGCTGCGCTCATCTCGCTCACTTGGCTCATTGGCTTCCTTATCTCCATCCCGCCCATGCTGGGTTGGCGCACCCCCGAAGACCGCTCGGACCCCGACGCGTGCACGATTAGCAAGGACCACGGCTACACTATCTACTCCACCTTTGGCGCTTTCTACATCCCGCTGCTGCTCATGCTGGTTCTCTACGGACGCATCTTCCGAGCTGCGCGCTTCCGCATCCGCAAAACAGTCAAGAAGGTGGAGAAGAAGGGAGCGGACACCCGCTTTGGGGTGTCGCCAGCCCCACAGCCCAAGAAGAGTGTAAACGGCGAGCCGGGGAGCAGAGAATGGAGGCAGGGTGTGGAGAACAAGGCAGGGGGGGCTCTGTGCACCAATGGCGCCATGAGGCAGGGTGACGAGGGCGCCGCCCTGGAGGTGATTGAAGTGCACCGGGTGGGCAACTCCAAAGAGCACCTGCCGCTGCCCAGCGAGGCGGGTGCTATCCCTTGCGCCCCCGCCTCCTTCGAGAAGAAGAATGAGCGCAACGCGGAGGCCAAGCGCAAGATGGCCCTGGCCAGAGAGAGGAAAACGGTGAAGACGCTGGGCATCATCATGGGCACATTCATCCTCTGCTGGCTGCCCTTCTTCATCGTGGCCCTGGTCCTGCCCTTCTGCGAGAGCAGCTGCCACATGCCCACCCTTTTGGGCGCCATAATCAACTGGTTGGGCTACTCCAACTCTCTGCTCAACCCTGTCATTTACGCCTACTTCAACAAAGACTTCCAAAACGCGTTTAAGAAGATCATCAAGTGCAAGTTCTGCCGCCGATGATGGTGGAGTAGTCGGCGAGTAGGCCCGCCCCATCCTCTCTGCCTCCTCCAGCCCTCTGGAATCAACACCTCGCTACTTTTCCTCTTTCTCGGCTGCTCGGGGTCCCCCGCTTCCAGACCTCGTCCCTCCTCCCCCGTCACCCAATCCCCTGCTCGGACGGAGGGAGTGCTCTTTGTGCAAAGAGCCCCAGCGGAGGGTCTGGAGGGCTTGGGAAACTCCCCGATCTGTGATAAGCGACCTTGGCTCAGACTTTGGCCTCAGAATCAGTTCTGATCCCTGCACTTGCCTCGTCCCTCTTCTGCACCCAAATCTTCGCGGCGGAAGTTTAAACCTCAGCCGTTCAAGGCAAACAATCTACACAGAAAAACAGTACACCCAGCTGCCGCGTCCACTAACGGCTCCCACCTGATCGCCCCATTGCCAGAACTTGGATTTAAGGTTCAGGAGTTTGCTTCATTCCCTATTCCCAACTCTGTCCCGCCCTCTCCCTGGAAACTCACTTTTATTTTTCAGTTTCATCCCTTCTTTCCAGCTTCTCTTTATGACCCCCTTAGTCCCTCTGCATAGGTTTGCTAGTCGGGAAAAGCTGGAGGGTCTGTTTTTCCCATTGACTGTGGTGTCCCTGGTAATCCCCGCCCCCTCTATGTAGACTTGCAGAGTAACTCTTCCGCGCACAGCCCCCAGGCTCTGTTTTCTTGGACTCCAAACAAGTGGCCAGAAGCTGTCTCTTAGAGTGGACTTGTAAGTACAAGCAAGGCTGGGCCAGTGGGGGAGAGCGAGGAGGGAGTGCGGAACGATTTTTTATCCGTGCTTGCCTTGGCGTCAGCACTCACCAAAGAAACTGACAGTCAGTGGGAAGGGAGAACGGACTTGTTTGTATAGGCTGCTGGCGCGTCTGCACGTTCTGGAGTCGACACTTACCTACCGCGGGCTGGGCCCGCCGGCCAAGGTGTGTGTGCTCTGGCCGCCCGGCCGCCTACCGGCCCCGCGCCTCCGCAGCCAGGGGCTGTCTGGTGTGCGCTCGGCGCGCGCGCAAGGAACTCAACCAACTGCAGCCATTCCTCCGCCTACGCCGCGGGACGCGCAGAAGGGCGGATAAACCGCGGGGGTCTGCGGAAGCCGCTGGAGCTAGGTCCGGCGGGAGGAGCGGGACGGAGGAAGCCAAAGGGGGTGGTGTCGGGCATTTAAGAGGGAGGAGACGTCAGTGCGCGCGGCCCGGCCTGCAGATGGCGCTGCTCGTGGAAGCCGAAAGGGCAGTTTCATCCAAAGGATGGAGACTCCTTCCTCCTAGTTACCGCCTGTCCTTTGGGATAGAATAGTTCCGCTAAGCGCGTCCTAACACTACACGGGATTTATTCTGTAGGACGTCCAGCACACAGTTACCAGGATTTTGCTTTCCAAATAGGAATTCCAGGCTTCCAATCAAATGGGCCCCGATAGGTTTAGTACCGTCTGTGACTTCACAGGCAGTTACTTTAAATAATGGGGCCTCAAAGACTAGTTAGGGGTACTCTCGCTGAGGAGTCCCTGAGAATCTTGTACAGGGTTAGGTTTCACATCCTTGGCCTGATGTGAGCCACAGGTCTAGGACAAACCAGTTTCTTGCCATTTGAATATGTGGAGCACTCCAAGCTTTCTCCCCCACAAAAGTTACTCTTTCAACCTTGCCACTTCTGCTGAGAAACAGTTCTAATCTTTACTGCCCCCAGAAGGGAAGTGATTTTGGTGCTCCTTTTGAATGTAAATTTCCATCCACAGGACTGGGATCAAGAGGTTTGTTAGTTAGATGTAGCCTCTAATTTTCTGATGACTAACGGTTGCGTTCTCCAGTAATTGCACAAAGTTACTGATTTTTACTCTCCTCTCCCTTCAACTGGACCTTTTGAATGATTGCGTCGGCTGTTTTGAGAACAGTGTTGCAAAAGTTGCCAATGGAAAGTTCACTTGTGTTTAGGATTAAGAAGGTGAAAAGACAGCTCTATCACTGAAGCCATTCTCTTGTCAACAGAACAAAGCCTCCATTTGGTATCTTTTTCTCTAACTGAAACTGAGAATAAGCATCACATCCAGTTAAGATAAAGTATAAGAACTCTGGACACTCGTGGATGGTTTGTTTATGCATATGTAATGCTGATAAGGGGCTAAGGTAGACTTCTTCAGTCCAAAAATTATTCATTTGAAAATTCAATTTCTTTTTTTGCTCACAATAATTTCAGTACAGCTGTATGAAAATGCACTTTTCTGTGTGTCTTCCTTAATTTTAGAACGAATTATATATGTAAAATAATTCAAGTTCAAAATTTGTTTATCCAAATTATGCCTTGGCCAGCAAGTATTACATTCAAAGTCTTGAGTCTTCCATTTATTTGTATCTCTTACAGAACTGTATGGCAATGGTTTTTGGACATTTATTCTTCCTACTTCGGAGGAATTACATCAAAATGAGGAAGGAGCATCCAACTGGAGCATAATTGCCAAGGCAATAGAGAAATTTGGGGAATAAGTGCACAGCAGTCAACAGCCCCTGATGCTTTTTATTTCTTTTAGTCTTTGTATTAAGACAAAGTATATATGCATCAAAATTGGCCTTCACTTTTCTCTGTGACAATAAAGGACTTTATTAATGGTAATGCTACAATAAACCGATATCAGTAACCCATGCATCTGTATTTTAATCGGAATTACTATCTACTTGTATTTATTTGTATTATCTAAAAATTGAAGTGGGGCGCCTGGGTGGCTCATTGGTTAAGCGACTGCCTTCGGCTCAGGTCATGATCCCAGGGTCCTGGGATCGAGCCCCGCATCGGGCTCCCTGCTTGTGTTCCTTCTCTCGCTGTCTCTCTCTCTGTCAAATAAATAAATAAAATCTTTAAAAAAAAATAAATAAAAAAATAAAAATTGAAGTGAAAAAATACAATCATCAGGAGAAGATTCTGCTATACAGATCAGGGATATGAAACTCATTCTAAATGAGTGATTTCTTTTTTAAAAAATCCTGTCTCTGAAAAGAGAGGTCACGTCTCATCGTTTAGCCATGAAACCATGAATTTTCCCTGACTGACACCTACAGTTAAGACTTAGACATCTGTCTAATTAATATGGACAGGGTGGAGGCCATGCAGAAGAGAAATGCAGCCTCTGGTGAAAGCAACAAACACAACCACATCCTGTGTTTTTAAAGCAGTGGACAGTCTGATGCCCCTCCTCTGTCTTCCCACAACTTGTAGCTAGAAGAAAATAGCCTCCCCTCGTTTCAAGTAAAGCAATGCATTGTTTTGGCATTTGTCACTCAATTAAAGGTGGAGAGGCATTTTCCTTTCTGTCTGGGTCTCACTTGATAGTGGGGTTCTGTATGGAAGATCTATTACTATGCTAAAATTAATTTTTATGCTCTCTTTTCCCCCTGTTAGAATCATTAGCAATGCCTCTTGTTTCCCATGGTATGTTTGTTAATTCCACTGCTTTCTGCTATCAGAATGATGGCTGCAGGGCATGCTGAGCCCCGGTACAACCCATAGGGAACACAAAGGTCAGGGATATTTTGGCCCCAGAAGAGAGCACTCTGAAGCTGCAGGAAGCCTTGTACATACACTATATGTATACACATGTTCTCCCAATAATGAAGAGTAAAGACAGGGGAATGGGGAGAAGAAAAGCTGTCTAGAATTTCTCATCTGAAAACTGTTCCATTAATGTGTCCCTGACCTTGAGTAAAATGATGCCTTTGGAACATTTGTCTTTTAGATTCTGGGTATCTCCCTTCTTGGCCCTTGTTCTCTGCTCTGGCATCTATTCCTCCAAGGGGACAATGGTTTTCTGTTTTCTACAGGCCTTCCTGAGTCTCTATCAACACTCAAATTGAGAAAGAAAATCATTATCATTCACTTCCAGTGTGACTAACAAGCCTGGATAACAAATTAGGAGCCACCACATGTCAGGCTCCATTAAATAATGTTGACACATGGGTCTACAAATTAATATAAGATACTTTTGTCACCTTGAAGGAGTTTCCAACCTATTAGGGTATATAAGAACAAGCTACGAAGGCTAATGGAATACTATTGGTAGAATATTAATATGATCTCAACAGGGCAAGTCACAAGAGTTTGGCTCTGTAAGAATTCAGGGGACAAAGATCACTGTGAGCTGGGGATGGGTAGGAAAGATTAGGTAGGGAAAGCTGCATAACGCATCCAGGACTGAGCTGTGGGCACATGGATGGGGATGGTATGAAAAGGCAGACATTCTTTATGAGATGCCAAAGACAACCTGATCCTGTCTTCTTGTCAAGAGGGGGCCTGGGATGAAATTTGTTACTGCATTGCTGGATACTGGTAGCCTGGGTTGGTTGAGGAGGTGGAGATCCTGGAAAAAGATTCAGGTTCATGGCTTCCCATGCATTGTATCAGAAGGGTCTGGGAAGAGTGAGAAAAGATGAATCTATAAAGTCAGAGAAATGGGAGTTGGGGGTAGCTAGATAAGAGGAAGAATGTTTTGACAAAGTAAGAGCACAGCATATGAATAGGGAGAGAATTATTAAACTATTAAATGTTGACAAAAGATTGATCAGGGGTAGGTACAAGACAGAATAATTCATACTTATGTAATGCTTAAGTTTTTGCCAAGTGATTTTCACACAATATACTATTGAAATTTGGGATAGCAGATCCTTTCAGAAATACCAATTAGACCACTTTAGCCAAAGCAAGAGATTAACATAGCAGCGGGTAGGTATAGAAGAAAATGCTAGAGATCATATGTGGAATCATTATAATTCCAGATTAAAAAACTAGAACTATAGTGTTAGTCAGTGTGGATCATTAAGAATGAAGACAGAAGTGTTCTGTTTGGAGTTGATTTCAGTGACGCAGGTGAAATAATGAAGACCTGATTGTGAGATGTCAGCAGAAGACATGGAAAACGAGTTAGACATCAAAGAAAGAACTGGCAGGACTTGGTGTCTGGACGTGAGGAGGGAGGGAGTTGAAGAAGCAGAGAAGGCTTTGTGCCTCGGAGATGTGGGCAATGACAGAAAAGGGGAAGTCAAGAGTGACTTCTCCTCTGGGTCTTTTTTTTTTTTTTTTTAAACTTGATCTGTAAATATAAAAAAAGCTTTGTTCTCTGCTAAGAGAATTTCCAGCCCCAGATGGCAGGGGCCTTCTTGGAAAGGGATTGATACATGTCACAGTATTGAAACAGTTTGTCATTTGGGAGAGTATGTGAGGAATGATCTTCAGAGAACAATGCTTGGATCAATACCCCGATTGTTGATACATTTTTCTTTTCTTTTAGTGGAATATGTTGTTTTTTGGAGAGGCCACAATTCCAAGGTACTACAACAGCCTTTCAAGGAGGGTAACCCAAACAGACCATGATGGGCAGTGTGGTAAGGGTACATGAAGCCTAGAAGATTGAGTGTGTCCAGTTGACCCAGTGGAGAGCACTTTACTCTTCAAGTCCAGTTATCAAGAACCATGGCAGACCTGTTTGATCCTTAAGCCAGATTTTCCTAGAAAATCTAGATCCAGGAGGCTAGACTATGCAGTGACTTATTTCTATTTTCCATCTCACTGTGCTTTGTGGTAATGGCAGGGATGGGGAAATGAGTTGGGTCACCAGACACTTCAATAACTGATTCAGTCATTTCTATGATGCCTACCTGTAACACTGCACAATTGTCCAGCTTTTGGAAAGTTCCCCAGGGCAGGATTTCATGGAGACATCTTGCATTGGTAATTGGTTGTTCTGTTGTGTCTCAGCTGGATTCAAGTTTGAAGAAAGAAGAGGTAACAGGCTGGCTGGGAGGAGGAACGGGGAAAGGAAGGAGTAGATCATAGGACTCACCTATCTTACAGGTTGGATAGCTGTGGAGGTGGAGGAGGAAGTGTTTTGAAACTTCTCTATGGTCCTTGGATGAGAAGCATTTTCTGAAATCTGGTATGCTTCACTGTTTCTGGGGACAATTGCACTGACGTTATGAGAACTAAGTAAGAGAGAAGGCAAATGGTGGAAGCTGATTGTAACTTCCACAGAACAGTAGAGACAGAACTCCAGATGCAAATATTCACAAACAATGTGGTTTCCTGCAAGTAGATGTTGCATTGTAAGGATTTGCAATGGAAAAGAGGCAATTTCTGGGACAGCCTCTGGTTCAGGAATAGTGGGCAGATGATTCATTCATTCGTTCAACTAATATTTCAGGACGACCTGTGGGCCAGACACTGTTCTATGTGCTTGGGACACAGCAGTGAACAAAGCAGATGAAATGTCTGTGGTAGATTATTTGTAAAAATGCTACAGTTACTGAACTGTTTTGCAGTCTGACTTTTAGCTTCTCCTACAAAGGTCTGGAGGCTTTCTCACCACTTGAATCTGGGTTGGCTTGTGACTTGCTTTGACCAATAAAACAGGCCAGATTGAACTGACCACACAGCTCATGAGGCCTTGCACTCTTCCACGTGCTCCCTCAGAATCCTGGGCAACTGCCACGTAAACAAACATGGGCTCACTTGCTGGAGACCAAGAGTCATCCCAGCTAAGGCCATCATGGACGAGCCAGATCTCAAGTGACTCAGAAGCTGAGTGCAAATGCAAGAGTGAGCACAGCTAACACCAGAGAAACCTCCCACCTTCATTTATTACCAGATTGTCAAAGCACAGACTTGTGAACAAAATAGATGGTTGTTATTTTAAGGCACTAAATTTTGAAGGTAATTTGTCATGCTGAAAAGGCTAACTGATACAGTCTCATGCCTTAAGGAGTTTACATTCCAAAGAAGGAAAGAAAAAATTAACAAAACCACACACACACAAACACACACTGATGTGCTCAGTATTATGGGAAAAAATAAACTAGAGTATGATATATAGCAAGTGTTGAGATGGAGGGCAAGAGTGTTCCTATTTTTTTTAAATATTTTATTTATTTATTTGACAAAGAAAGGGAGAGAGTGAGAGAGCACACAAGCAGGGGGAGCAGCAGAGGGAGAGGGAGAAGCAGGCTTCCCGCTGAGCAGGGAGCCCGATGCGGGGCTTGATC